AAGTGGTTCAGTTTGTTTGTTTGTTCTTATGCTGGGGACCGAACTCAGGGCCTTGTACATGCTAAGCATATTCTCTCTGACTGAGCAACACCCCCACCCCAATGGCTCAGTTTAGAATACTGTTAGAATTAAAATGAGGAAATTCTTATCATCAAACCCAAATTATGATATCCAATTAATCCTCATTATTCACGGATTCCTTATTTTCAAATCCTTATTTAAAATGCAGACTCACAGAGATTTCCCAGTCTCCTGCAGACACGTGCTAAGGGGAGAAAGACTGAGTGGCTGTGGGCATGTTCCTGGCTGCGGCTGGACAGGGAGGCAGCGCTGCCTTATTTCAGCTGTCATGCTCAGGCCAGCGCCCCTTTTATGGTCAGCTTAGTGTCACCTTTGTCTTCATTTCCGTGTTGTCTTGCTGGTGATCTTGTTGTTGAAAGGGGGCCCCAAGCACAGTACCAAAGCACTGTCTAGCGTCCCTACCCACAGGAAGGTGCCTTGTGGAGAGAATGCATCTGTCAGTCAACTTAGCAGGGCCCTGTCTCAAAATAAGAAACACATTTACATAAAGTAAAAAGGCTGCAGATTATAGTTCAGTGGTCAGTGCCCTGGGTCAATCCCCAGTGCCTCAAAATAAAACAAAACACAGGACAACTTGCCACGGTAATGAAAGCTATGTGAATATGGTCTCTTTGGGGAGGGGTTGGGGGTGCTAGGGATGGAACCCAGGGCCTCGCACACGCTGGGCAAGTGCTCCACCACTAAGCCAGACCTCTAGCCTGAATGTGGCCTCTTTTAAAAGTGTCAGACAACTACTAATATTTTCAGACTAATGTGGGTCACGAAAGCCACCTAAAGCAAAACCATGGATGAGGGGCGAGACTGCTGTGTTACAATAAATAAACAAAAATGTAAAACATTAAACGTTGACTGTTTCCACATCCACCCTGTGGTCAGAGCCTGGGAGGCTTGGGCACAAGGACCATGTCTTGCTGGACGGTGGTACAGCAGGGTCTGTGCCATTAAATTCCAGGGTGAGCACCAAGACCACCACAGAGAGCCAGAATTAATAGGGGTCACCTCAGCAGCAAGAACACTGCACATCTGTGCAACTAAAAGAATAACTAAGGTGATCATCTTCTGCATTATTGAGCACCAACTGTATGCCAAACACTGTGCTACTCTCATAGCCAGCCTCCAAAGTAGGGGGCTATGCATCAGGTGATGGTTGAGCTGGGGCTCAGAAAGGTGAATTAACATGCCTGAGGTAACACAGCATATTGGGACAGAACAACCCAGAGCCAAACCTTGCTTACAGTGTCTCTCTGTTCCCCTGCAGACTTAACGCCAAACATTTATCAAGTGCTCACAGGATACCAGGAACCGTGAGGTACACAGCAGGTGTAATGCATGCACCTGAAGGACTATTCCAACACCAGATTTCATCTCCAATTGAAGCAACTGGGATGCAACAGGTCAGCAAGGGAAGACCCTCGTCCACAGCCAGACCCTCAGGCTCTAGCCACCAAGCTGCTGACCCCACCTTACATCCAAGCACCTACTATGTGCCTGGCCCTGCCCTAAGATCTTGCTGTAAGAGAACCCCCAAGGGGGGTACAAGTGTCAGAGCCACGGGCAGAGGGCCACCAGCGAGGCAGCAGCCAGAGGAAGTAACCCCTGCTAGAAACAGGAATGAGGCCACAGCTGGTCATGCCCAGGCTGAACACGGGAACAGCAGTGGTTACAAGTGCACTCAGCCTGTCCCCTGCTGCCCTCAGTGCTGCCGCTTGGTGTCTCTCAAGGACGCCCACATGGGCAGGCAGTGGATTCCAGTGCTTTGTTCCAGCCATTTGCTGGGGTGGCCCCATTGGGCAGCAGCCCAAGCCACCTCCACCCTTGGACAAAGAGACCACTGTCCGGCTCTGGGCCCTTCCCAGGGCCTCTTCTTGTCCTGCTCTTTTCATCCTGAGTCCCAGGACTCCAGTGCACGAAGACACCAGCAAGGATAAACGCAACCGGATTTTATGAAGCGAATACGGGGTGAGGCGGGAGAACAGGACAGGGTGCTGACGTGTCCCTGAACCAGAGTCTAAATCCAGCATGGCATGGTGGCCAAAGGCTCAGATTCCCCTCCCTGGCTGTGTGTTCCCAAGAAAATGGCTTCAGCTCTCTTTGCCTTGGCCTGCCCACCTGAGAAGTGGGATTAGTCAGCAAGCTTTCCTTAAAGGCTGTGAGAACCAGACCTGGTACAGGGGAAGGACATTTGACAAGCTGCATTAGTGAGCTACTGCTGCAGAACAAATGACCCCCCAAATTAGCAGCTACGAACCACGGTCATTGTCTCATAGATCCATGGATCAAAAATCTAGGAGCAAGCCAAGTGCGGTGGCTCCCACCTAGAATCTCAGCTATTTGGGTGACCGAAGCAAGAAGATCACAAGTTTGAGGCCAGCCTGGGCAACTTAGGGAGAACTTCAGCAACTTAGCAAGGCCCCGTCTCAAAATTAAAAAATAACAAGGGCTGGGGGTGAGGCTTGTGGCAGAGCACTCCTGGGTTGAACCCCCAGTCCTGGGAAAAAAATCTGGGAGCAGCTTAATTGGGTGGTTCAGGCTCAGGGTATCTCAGGAAGCTGCCACTGAGGTGGAGTCTGGGCCTTTGGCCTCCCCGAGCTTCACTGGGAGACAATCCACATGAAACTCACTCATATGGGCCTGTCCAGAGGACAGGGCAGCTGGCATCCCTCAGAGCAAGCGAGCCAAGAAATGGCACCCGAGTCGAAGGCCACTGTCTTTGTATTCCCTAACCTCAGAAATGCTGTGCGCTGGACGGGGAGGGACCACCCAGGGCAGGAAAGCAGGAGGCAGCAATCAGTGGGATCCTCAAGGCTCTTCAACAGCCGACTGTGCCAAGCCATGTCAGGGACATGAAGTGGACCCTGCTCCTGGCTCTGGGGAGACAGACATGACCCCCATCTCTGTCCCTCAGGGCCTACAGTCTAGCGGGGGAGAGAAACCCCACGATCAGAGGACGGGTAAGCAGGCGCAAGCGCGTGAGAGAACTACAAATACCACCGCTGCTGGGAGTCCCCAGGCAAGCCTCAGAGCCACACGGCCTGCTCCTGCTGGTTGCCACCCACGTGACGCTGGACAAGCTACACAGCCAAGCTGTGCCGAGGTTTGCTTGTGTTTAAGGTGGGACAGCACCGCCTCGCGGGCTGCTGGGAGGGCTCTATAAAGTCACACCTGGGAAGTGCTCAGACATCCCCTGGCCTGGCAACAAGAGCACTCAGGAGTGTCGGTCATTCTGCCAAAAGTGACAGGTGGGGAGGGCTAGAGACAGCATCTGAGGACAGGACATTTAAACCACAGCATAAGAAAAAATCAAGAGCAGAGGGAGGGCCATCAGGCAGAGGGACAGCAAGGGCAAAAGCCCTGGGCTGGGACCCAGGCTGAGCTATTCAGCAAGTACAAGGACGCAGACTAGCCCGAGGGGGACAGAGAGAGGGCTAGGACGGGGAGCAGGGGTAGGGGACTCTTGGGCCATGCTCAGGAGCGTGGTTTGGACTCTCAGAACAAGGAGCCACTGAGCGTACTGAGTAGAAAAACCCAGCAGGAGCCTGGGAGAGTGTCATATGGTATCGCCAGGCAAAAGGAGGACCCAAATGTCCCATCCAGAGGAGGCAGCCTGGGTCTGCTCAGGCAAGCTGCTTTGGGGACCAAGTGAACACAGGGAGTGGGGAGTGGTGGGCAGGCAGAGGCAGGCTGGCAGGGCCTTGAGCACCCGCCAAAGTTGTCTTCTCCTGCAGAGGATGAGGGGACAAGGAGGGTGTGTGAGGATCTGCTTGTCAAGATGACCAAGGGGGGCTGGGGTTCCGGCTCAGTGGTTGAGCGCTTGCCTAGCGCGTGTGAGGCATGGGGTTCGTACTCAGCACCACAAATAAATAAATAAGTAAAGATCTATCAACGACTAAAAAAAAATTTTTTTTAAACTGAGGGGTGGTGGGGAAGAGGTGGGACCATGATATTAGAGAAGAAAGGACAGGTTTTAGAAAGTTTGGAACCAGTCAGCCTGCAGGGGAGCCTTCCCAACTCCACCGCATCCCTGCCTGAACCTGTTTCTTCTCCCTTGGTTCAGTGTGCCCACCTCCCTGCCAGGAGCCTGTGAAGGCCAGCCCAGCGCACGGCAGGTCCTGGCCTACAGTACCACATGGGACGGTTCCTGAGATCGACTCTTATGGGAACCCCAGCAAAGCCTATTTTTGACCCAGGATGATCCCCAGTAGCCCCTTTGAGCAAAATTCTGATACCCCCAAGACAGTCTCCAGAGACCCCCAAGCAAGTACTGGAATATACAGTGACCCCCCCACACACAGTCCCTGAACAACACCCAAAGCTCCACACAGATCCCAAACTCTCAAAATGCACCCCAACCACAAAGAAACCTGTCAGTGGTCCTAAAGAGGAACCTCTGAAGACCTTGGAAGGCCTTTACAGATTTCGGGAGTAGCCCCTTTATCCCCAGCCCTAAGCAGACCCCAAGAGGTTGTGCAGCCCCCAGAGACCACTGAGTTGCCCCTTTGAGCCCTCAGGACCCTATCAGAGTCTCTGACAGCTCCCAGAAGTCTCTCAGTCACCACAGTCCCACAGAGACCCTCAGACTTCCACCAGCTAGCTGCCCAGAGTCCCAAAGGTTGTCACTGGGGTCCCCAAAAGTCTCCTAAGCAGTCCCCAAAGCTCCAATCGTCTTTGAACATACTCATCTCCCTCCAAAGATTCCCAATCTCTCCACTGTTCTTCTCAAAGCCCCCCCCCCCGCCCCGACCAGGCGCCCCTTCAAGCCCCGGCCCCGCCCCTAGCCCTGCCCATACGGCCCGGGTCCCGCCCCCAGTTTCTAAGCCCTCTCAGCCCTACCGGGGCCCGCACAGCACCCGCTACCTCCTCAACCCGCCCCGGGCCGCGCAGCCCCGCCCCCATACCTGCCCGGCCCAGACCACACTCACAAGAGGTCCCGCCTCGCCGTCTTGCAGACGATGCGCAGGAAGCGCCAGCCGCCGCCGCCCACGTACACACCGAACGCCGCCGCTGCGCTCCAGGTCCACGGTAGCCCCAGCAGCCACAGTAGCGCCAGCGAGGCCAGGGAGGCCGTGCCTGCACCCGGAGCCCGCATCCTAGGAAGCGGAGAGCGCTGAGGGGGCTGGCCGCTGGGGCCCCGCCTCCTGCCGCCATGCCCCACCCCAGATCCTGGCTCCGCCCACGACCAGCCCAGCCTGGAACTCCGAGCCAAGTCCCGCCCCCTCCTCGGTCTAACGGGAACGCGTTCACAAGTCAGGCCCCGCCCCCAAGCCTGTGGTTGGCTACGTCCCTAATAGGTACCACCCCCAGGACGGGGCTCCGCCTCCCTGCCAATCATTGTATTGGGACCCTCCCCCAGGCCCAATATTTCCATAGCGTCAGTCCTTGTTAGGCCCCGCCCCATGCCTTGACTTTGAGGCAAGACCTTAAACCCACGCTCCATCCCCAAGATTTAGCCCTCAAAGCCTGGCTCCGCTTTGTTCCCGACCACAGACCTAGTCCCTTCTTAGTCATTCGTCCAGGTCCTGTCCCCAGGCCATGACCTACCCCTATCCTCTGTCCCCCAGCCTGCCCATCTCGGACGCTGGGTTTTCCTCCAGGTCCCGCCTCTAACCACTTTTTCACCGCGCTCCGGCCCCCGGCCCCAGGTTAAGCCTCCAGCTCCGCCCATAAGCGCAAGACTCAGGCGGAGCCCCGCCCTCTCTAAGCCAGGCTCCACCCCGAGTTAGGCCTGTGCTCCGGCCCCTAAGCACACGCTCCAGACCCGGGCCCTCCCGGTCAGCTCGAGCCGCGCCCCCAGCTTCTGACCTGGCCTGCGTTCCCAGGCCCAGGTTCTGTTCTGGCCACCGGCCCCACCCTCAGGCCTGTCTTAGTCACCGCTCTAGAAAGGCGCCTCACTCCTGCCCACTTAGCACCTAAGCCCCGCCCCACACCCTTCTTCCCACCTGTCCAGGTTTTAGCCCCTCATCCCGCATAGCGGAGGCTGGCCCCTTCCGGAGGCCACGACCATAGAGAGAGATCCCCCGAGCTAGAGAGCCAGAGGCCAACGAGACCAGCGGTGCTAGAACGGCCCGCCGAGGCTTACCGCTGTCTCCATGGCAACCAGGCTTCGCCCCTCCCATTCGGCCGCGGGCTTAGAAAGCACGTGGGTCCCGCAGGCAGGGGCGTGGCTCTCGGGCGCGCCCAGCCGAGCCCAAGATGCCATTCAAGGTTGTCCCCGGGGACCGGAAACTCCCAGCTCACACCCGGGCCGCCTACGCTGGAGTCTTACCCCATACCCCAAGTCCAAGTCCTAAAGCTTCTTCGATACTAAACACGCATTCTAGGGACCCGAGGATTGCTAAACTAACCCCCTGGGGAGCAGAAGTTTCCAAGTCGAAACCCGCCTCAGTTTCAATAGTGGATCAAGGACCCAGCTAACCCTAAATCCACACTCCAAAGCCTTGTCAGTTAAATCTCAGTGTCACACCCCTGGAGCCTGGGGAGGACAATATCCACCACCAGGTTCTCATCCTTCCTAATCATACTCCCAGGAGCTCCAACTAGGTCTTGTTTGCACCCCAGAGTCCTAAATGCTTACCTAGAGGCTCCAAAGCCCTTTTTCTGACCAGGTGTGGGGAGGCACTGACCTGGATGTCCACAACCCTATTCCCTGGCTGACCTGAAGCCACTTGCAGACCCCCGGACTTGGCCGCTCCTTCGTGGGCTTCCAGAAGCTCAGGCAGGAAGCCGGCAGAGACTGTGAGGCCGAGGCAGGGGTCCTCAACTTAGCTCCAGATGGTGGGTCCCTTCAGGGGCTTCTGTTTCTGGCCAACTCCTGGCTTGTCTCACTGCGCTGTGTCCATGTGTGCCTCTGCCTTGGGGCCCTCCCATCAAGTTCCCCCTCTGTGCCCCCCTGCCCACTCCACCCCTGCTTGTTTTCTGCCCTGCTTGGCCGACCTTCCCAGCGATGTCTTTGGGAGGTGGCCAGGGCCTGCTTCCAGCACCACTTTGAGGACAGGGCTGGGCAGGCGCTCACCCCACCCCCACTCCAGCTGCCATTGGTTTCTGCCAGCAGCCCACGGGTGGGTGCAATGGGGGGCGAGGAAGCAGATCCGGAGCACAGGCCCAGAGCCAGCCACTGGCCTGCACTACTTTTTCAAACCAGGGATCAGCAATGACCTGTCTCTGCAGCCGCACTTCTGCCCTGCCAGAATGATTATTGCAATCACACCCACTTTACAGGTAAAGAAAGTGAGCGCTGAAGCAGAGCTTGCCTCACTGGCTTGGTGCTGAGATTGCAAATATGGGTTGGGAGCGAGCTGTCTCTCCTCCCCTCCTATTCCTCCCTTTTTACCTCCTCCTCATTACCACCCACTGGAACTTATCCTTCCTTCTCTTTCTTCCCTAGTTCCCTTTACCCTAATTCCCTCTTCTCTTACCCACTTCCTCCCTCGTCCCTTCCGCTTCCCTTCCCCTCCCCCTCTTCCTCTTTCCACCTCCCCTCTCCTGTGACCCCTCCATTTTACCAGGTAAACTAAGCCCTGACTAAGCACCCTACACTCATGACCTCATCCAGTTCTTCCCACAGCACCCCCCATCCCCTTTGGCTTTGGAAACCCACTTTTTTCCTAAGCGTGGTCTCAACCCTCCAGTAGGGAGCCATCTCTGCTGCACTGAGCCAGGCTCTTCCCCATGGTCAAGTATTCTTTTTTATCCTCATTTATGCCTTCACTTACAGAATGCCCAGGCCCCCAGGGACACCCTGCAGTACAGGAAGCATTCCCCCAGTTATCTTCCTGGAATACAAAAACCCCCAATCCCAGGGCTGGGGGTACAACTCAGTGACAGAGCACTTGCCTAGCATGCACGGGTCCCTGGGCTCCATTCCCCCTGCCAAAACCCAAAAAGTTTTATCTGGCTCCATGGTTGCAAAATTATAATAGTTCCAGCTATTCGGGAGGCTGAGGCAGGAGGATCATGAGTTCAAGTCCTGTCTGGACAACTTAGCAAGACCCTGTCTCAAAATTAAAAAAAAAAAAAAAAAAAAGAAAAGAAAAAAGAAAGAAAGAAAGAGGAAACATTCCCAGTGCCAAGGTTTATTATCCCCAAGGATTTTGCATAAGGGATTGAAGATCTATTCCCTGACAGGGTAGAACTCAGGCTTTGGGACTGAACCAGTCTCTGCCCCTCTTCAACTGATGACCCTGGGCAGGATACCTCTCCCCTCTGCACCTTGGTTGCTGGGTAGATGTTAATGGGAGCTGGGCATCAAGTGCATTGATTACCCAGTCACTGCACGTGGCAGTGGCTGGCAGTGGGCCCTCTGCTGGGTGTACTGCAACAGCAAAGAAGTTTCTTGCACTTTCCAAAAGAACAAGAGAAAATAACCAGTATTGAAATAAAATACAAGAAGACCAAGACACGGGGACTGCATTGTAAGTAGAACATGAGCACCCTGTAGAAGTGAACAATTTCCCTGAAATAGACGCCATAGTAGGTATGAGTGTACAGCGGCTGTTGAAACAAAAGTACCTTTGCCTAGGGGCAACAGAAGCCTATTATATCTGGCAGCTCTAGAGGCCTGAAGTCATGGAAGCAGAGCGCCCTCTGGAGGCTTCAGGGAGGAGCTCTTCTGGCTGCCAGCTGTTGGTGGTTCCCAGGGTTCCTTGGTTTGTGGCCCCATCACTCCAGGCTCTGCCTTGGTCTTCACTGGGCTGTCTTCTCTCCGGTGTTTTCTCTTCTCTTTCTCATTTTCTCAGTCCGTCTCTCTCAATTTGGAGCAGGGAATGCTGGATAAGTGCTGTACGGCTGAGCTACACCCCCAGACCCCAGTTTAGATTTTCTGCAATGTGTTTTCAGGCCCACGAGGGCGCTCTCCCCGCACCAACCCCTGCCCTTGGAGGCCCTGCAGAACTAGGTCAAGATTGAGCAGATTAGCGAGGTCCTAAACTGGCTTCCTAGAGCTCTCTATTCCTGGGAGAGGACCAGACCGCAGGTCCAGGCCACACCACCTGGGGATCTCTCCCTGTCCCCAGCACCCAGTTGGGGCTACCATGGTCTCCCTGTTCTCTGGCCGCGTCCTGATCCGCAATAACAGCGACCAGGATGAGCTGGACACCGAGGCAGAGGTCAGCCGCAGGCTGGAGAACCGTCTGGTGCTGCTGTTCTTTGGCGCTGCGGCTTGTCCCAAGTGTCAGGCCTTCGTGCCCATCCTCAAGGACTTCTTTGTGAGGCTCACAGATGAGTTCTATGTGTTGCGGGCAGCCCAGCTGGCCCTGGTGTACGTGTCGCAGGATCCCACAGAAGAGCAGCAGGAGCTGTTCCTCAAGGACATGCCTGAGAAGTGGCTCTTCCTGCCCTTCGAGGATGATCTGAGGAGGTAAGGCGGGACAGGAAGGTCTGGGAGGGCTTCCTGGAGGAGGCACCACCACCAGAACTGAGGCATTTGCTTAGTGATTTGTCCCTTCTCCCTGGGGGAGTGAACAGCCCCGTGTGCCAATCCGTGTCCTAGAAATTAGGGGTACAGAAAGTGGTGTCCATTCCCACTCCCATCGCACCCCGGGAGCAAGGGTGAAGTGGGGAAAGCAGATGTGAAACAAAGACTCAGATCGATACAAAATGACAAATTGCAGGAGCGTTCTGGAGGACAAAGGGAGGCCCCCAAGTGGAAATGCAATAGAAACCTCACTGAAATCCAGGAGTCAGAGAATGCTTCTGGAGGAAGTGTCTTTAAAAATATCCCCAGGCATGTAAGAGGATGGTGGCCACGCTCCCAAAAGCAGGGTTTGCAGGCACAGGGCCCAGCACAGACATAAAGGCGGGAGGCTGTCAGGAGAAAGGACAGCCAGTTCAGTTCAGGGAGGCTGAGTCATTCCCAGTGTGACAGGTGGGTGGAGTAGAGCCCTCTGAAGGATCCGGTAGACCTCAGCCCGCCCGGAGCCTTGCAGGGTGTGAGAACTCCGGAGAGGGAGCTGATTCAAGCTTTGCCAGGAGAGCCCAATAGTGGCTATTTTGGAACTTGCTCCTTTTCTGCAATGAGAGGTACTTTCATTTTTATTTTTTTTATTTTTATTTTTTTTGGTACTGGGAATTGAACCTAGGACCCCTCTACCATTAAGCTACATCCCCAGCCCTTTTTATTTTTTATGTGGACACAGGGCCTCACTAAGTTGCAGAGGCTGGGCTTGAACTTGGGATCCTCCAGCCTCCGCCTCCCAAGTGGCTGGGATTACAGGCATGCACCACTACGCCCAGCTCTTTCATTCTTTTTTAACCCCGACTTTTGGTTTTGTTTTTCTGTAGTGCTAGGGAGGAGCCCTTTCTTTTTCTCATGAAAGAAAAAAAAAATTCAGGACCTGAATGTGTTGCTCAGGGGGCGGAGTGATCACCTAGCCTGTATGAGACCCTGGGTTCCATCCCCAACATTAAAAAAAAAAAAAAAAAATCCAAACTCAGCAAAAACTTGAAAGAAGTGTATAGTGAAGTCCACAGCAATTGTGGCATTTTTCTGTATGTGTGTGTGTGTGTGTGTATCAGAGTGCGTGTGTATGTGGGGGGGGGGGTGATGAACCATTTGACAGTGAGTCACCGACCTCCTGACATTTTACCAACTTCATTCATGTTGGTGCCCAAGGGGAAGGTCTGTGGTCATGGAGCGCTTCCTTCCCACTCCTTGTTATCAGAGTTGGGACATTTGCCCAATCCTGCTGCCCTCTGGCAAATAGGGAGTTTTTTCCTCCAAAGCAGGCCAAATTTCTGTCCCTAGGGAAGAAACACGAGTCCCAAGCACATCTCAGATGACACCTTCTATTTGGGATGAGGTTTTCCCCATCACCCTCCTTGAAAGTGGCCAGCTAAGGTACACACTGTCCGGCTCAATTCAAATTTCAGATACACAACAAATAATGTTTTTGGTATCTATGTCTCATGTGATTTGGTGTACTGCCACAGTCTGGCTGGGCACAATTCAGGAGCCACTTGACAAAAGAAACAAACTTTATTTTTAGAACACACACACACCACACCACACCACACAGCTCCTCAGGAAAAACCCTCAGAGCCAACTGCCACCATGGGCTTCCCACAAGCCTCTCAACCTCCCCCACTCCTCCTGCTCTTGAGGATGATTGGCTGGGTTGTGTGGGCGGATCCATTGTGTGGGTGGAGCCAAAAAAGTCCCCCAATGAGCAGCTCCGTGGTCTGAAAGGGCGGGGAAACAGCCCAATGAGCATCACCGCAGAGGAGCCAATCAGTTGGCAGCTAGAAATTGCGGCAGCTGTGAGCCAATCATCAGCTGGCAGCTGGAAGTTTGCTGGCAGCTGGAAGTTTGCTGGGGCCCCTTGGGCTGTGGCTCTCAACAGGGTACATTCTTTTTTTTTTTTTCTTTTTTTTTTTAAAGAGAGAGTGAGAGAGGAGAGAGAGAGAGAGAGAGAGAATTTTTAATATTTATTTTCTAGTTCTCTGCGGACACAACATCTTTGTTGGTATGTGGTGCTGAGGATCGAACCCAGGCCGCACGCATGCCAGGCGAGCCAGGCGAGCGCGCTACCGCTTGAGCCACATCCCCAGCCCCCAGAGTACATTCTTATACTAAGAGTTTTCTTTGTTTTTCTGAAATTCAGATTTGGCTGGGGGAAGGGGGTCCTAGATCTTTAACTGCTAAATATGCTATTTTGCTCCCATGGGATTTTGCAGGTACCACGTGTTCCCTGGCTGTGGGCCTGGGAAAAGACCACCCAAGAAAGCAGCAGATTAAAATTAACAACTGTGGGTGATGGGCCCAGTCTGGCAGCCCAGCTCTTCCCTGACGGGTCTGGCCTAGACGGGTCTGGCCTAGAGTTTGGTGCAGGGTCAACCCCGGGTGCACACAGCTTCTCGTTCGCTTTCTCTCTAACACTTAGACCATAATCAAAACTTCTTACCATGCCCCTCCAGGGCTTTCCGGCTCAGGTACCCTGCCACCTCTGGGCCCTTGCACATGCTGCATCCTCTACCTGAGCACCCTCATCTCAGTTCACCCTCTTTTCCTCCTGCAGATTTCAGATCAAAGGTCACCTTCTTGAAGTGGCCTTCGCTAATTGGTAGCCCCTACCCGACTTGATATTCCTTATGGCATTCATTCATTCATTCATTCGCCCCACAACACATTCCCTGGGCATTACACCGCCTTGAGCTGTTTCAGGCACAGACGATTCTAGCGAAAGGAGGCAAATCCATGCCCTTGTGGATCTACAAATTCACTGTGGGAGAAAATGATAAGCAGGAGAAATAGACTGTACAGTATGTTGTATGCTGAGCGGATCCAGGAAGAAAAACAGAAACGCGACCCAGCAGGGACTTAAGGGAGGGGCTGCGATGGGATGGGGCTTAACGGGCGGCGGTCTGAGATCGGTGTCCCAGGATCACGGATGGGCCGGCCCTCCCTGCAGGGACCTCGGGCGCCAGTTCTCGGTGGAGCACCTGCCCACGGTCGTGGTGCTGAAGCCGGGCGGGGACGTGCTCACTCGTGACGCGACGGCTGAGATCCAGCGCCTGGGCCCAGCTTGCTTCGCCAACTGGCAAGAGGCGACCGAAGTGCTGGACCGCAACTTTCTGCTCCCCGAGGACCTGGACGACCCGGCGCCGCGGAGCCTCATGGAGCCGCTGCGCCGCCGCAAGTACCGAGTGGACAAGGAGACGCGGGGCGGGCGCGGCCCGGAGGGCAGGACCCCGTTCTGAGCCTGCGGAGGCCCGGGGAGCCTCTGCTCCCGGAGGAGCGGTCCCCCAAGGTTCAGGGACGGGGACCGGCCTCTGCCCTAGCCTCCCGCGGAGTATTGAACCCCGGTGGGAGGAGGCGGGGGGCCCGAGCTTGGGACCGCGGCGCTCCTCCGTCCCGGTCCTCCCACCCCCGGCCATCCCGCCCCCGCCTCCGGGGAAGGAAGGCTGCTCTGAGCTCCGGTGACCCGAGCCGCCGACGGAGAGGGGCGGGGGAGGGGAGGGGTCTGCCCTGAGCTCCACCCCCAGGGGCTGCGCCCCGTCCACATCCCCACTCCCGCCCCGGATCCGATCCCCAGCGAGAAACGGCGGGGTCCGGGGAGCCGGTTCTGGTCCCTACGCCACCGCCATGGGGACAGACTGGGGCCAAGGTTGGGGCAGGTGGCGAGGGAGTCTCCATTCAGACACCTCCGCGCACTCAGCGCGGGCCCAGGGCCTGTCCTCGTCCTCTGGGGCTTCTCTGGGCCTCCCGGGAAGCTGGCAGAGCTTTTAAAGTACCAAGAAATATTTTTGAGACCTGATTCTAGAATATTTTTCGAGACCTGGTCCCCAAATGGGAAAATGCAAACTAAATTAAAAAACGTGCTGAGAACGCTAAGCCCATGGTGCATTAAACCATTTGTCCACAAATTTCATATTCAAGCTTTTAAAAGATTTCTATTTTACGGGGATGCATTTCCCTATTTAGCGCCATGGACGCTGGGGGCCAGTGACCGCCACAGAGGGCCAAGAGTCTCCCAGGTCTTCATCCCGGGGATCCCGAGGGAGAGAGTAGAATATAGGAATAAAACCCTCCGGTCTAGACTCACTTCTCGACTTCGTGACTGTGGGACAGTCACCTTCCTTCTCCAAGCCCCATTTCTTTCCTCCAGAAAATAGCAAGGCCAGTCCTTCCAGGTGGATCTGCAAGAAAGCAGAAAGGGGTTCGCTCCGCGCTCGGAATGCTTTTCCTACGGCGCCCTCTGGCGGCTGAATGGAGCGGCGCGTCTTGGGGCGGAGCCAAAATGCAAATAAGGTGTAAGCCACGCCCTCCACACCCAGTTTCTCTAAAAGGTGTCGGTGAAGGGGGACGCAGCTTTCCCTCTCTGGACCTCAGTGGGCAATTCTGGGAAATGGCCGTTTCTGAGAGATGGGCGTGTTGGACCTTGTGAGATAGCAGCTCTTAAACTCTAATCCCAGGTGGCTGATTTTAAACCTCCTTCTTGAACCTACCGCGGGGCTCGCAGCCCGCCAGCAAGGTTGCTAACCATCCCAGCCAACTGCCGCCCCGTCTCCGACCGGTCCGCGGGGGCTGGAGGGGTTTGACCCAAGGCCAAGATGAATGAGATCATCCTCCATGGGGCTCACTTGAAGGCTCAACTTTCCAGATTGAATGCAGACACCATAAATTGGGGAGTCGCCCCCACACAAGGGGTGGGGCCGGGCCAGGGTATCTGGGTGCCCACAACCCCCAACAAATAAGGATGAACCTAAAACAGCTCCGTTAATGTCCTTTGGCCAGATTAGGAAATTGTCCCTTGTGCGTCTCTTGTATGCTTCCACCTCCTCCTCCAGGCTGTGAGCCCCAGAAGAAAAAGCTTGTCTTGGTCACCATGAGCCTCCCAAGCTGGGAACAAGGTGGTTGTCCCATCACTATTCGTCAAATGAACAAATGCAGGTATTTTACATCTCTGTATCTTAAGTCCTGGAAAAGAACAGGAATGCTCATGTGGATGAGTTGCTGAACCTCAGCTACCCCACCTATAAAACAAGGAAAAGTGTGTTGGTTGAACAGCCGGGTGAATGAACGAATGAATCAGAAGTTGTAACCTATGCAAGATGAGGAGGCCCAGAGAGGTTAAGGGACTAGCCCAAAGCCACACAGCAAAAAAAGAATGCCACCTGGGGATGAGGAGTCACCCCTAGGCTCCCCCAGAGCCATTTTACCTATTAAGGACTAAGGTGAGGACTCGGGGCACACAAAAAAATTATTTTTCAATTAATTTTTAATAATTTATTCATTTACTCTAATTTGTTATACATGACAGCAGAATGCATTCAATTTCAAGTAAATTTGAAATTTGAAAAAAAAAGTTGGCTTCATCAATTGGAAAAATAACTGGAAATACAAAGCCAGTGAAATCGCTGGTGCATCTGGGAAGTAGTAGAGAGCAGTGGGTGGGAGGTGAGGTGCTGGGTTCAAATCCGACTCTGCTGGGAAGTCTCAGTACCTCTCTGGGCTTCCGTTTCCTCCTCTGGAGAGCAAGGCAATGTTCAGGGCTATTGCAAGGTCTGGACGGGGGTCAGGAAATAGCCACTGCACCGCAGGAGCTGGGTGCTGTGGGGGAACAGAGTATAAGAATTGCAAGACATATAGCTGAGGAGGGTTCACCGCCCGGGCTGCCTAGAGAACTCCTTCAACTCAACAACAGAAAGTTAGCCGCCCTTAAAAAGGGCCAAGGACTTGAATAGACATTTCTCCAACGAAGATACTCAACAAGGATGTGAAGAGCTTGACTCAGGACTCATTAGGGAAATGCAGATCAAAGCCATAATGTGGTACCACTGCCCATCCCCCAGGATGGCTATTATCAATTTCAAAAAGAAGGAAATAGCAAGTATTGGTGTGTGCCGGAAAGAGAGGAAAAACTCTCCGCATTGCTGGGGGGAGGGGTGGAAAACAGTTGGGTGAGTCCACCAAAGGTTAAAATGGAGTTATCATCAACCCCAGAATTCCACTCCAGGGGTTCCCGAATACTTGTAGATGCACATTCATAGCAGCAGATTCACATTTTCCAAAAGGTGGAGACCACCCAAGATGAAAAAGCAAAAGTACACAATGGAGTATTACTCAGCCATCAAAAGGAATGAAGCACTGACACCCTCTACAATGTGGATGAACCTCGAAAAGATGTTGACTGACAGAAGCCAGACACAAAAGGCCACGTAGTGTGTGATCCCATTGATATGGAATGTCCAGAACAGGAGAATCCACGGAGACAGAAAGTAGATTACAGAGTGCCAGGGCCTGGAGGAGGGGATTGGGGAGCAAGAGCTAATGGGGCAGGGGTCTCTTTGGGGTGATTAAATTATTTACAGATGAGGCCGAATGAATGGACAATATTGTGAAGGTAATAACAACTGCTCAATACAATGGTTTAAGTTTCACCTCAACTTTTAAAAATTAATAGCGGAAGAACATGGTGGGTGGGCTGGAGAAGGAATTCAGGAGGGTCTCCTGGAGGAGAGAACGTTTCCTCAAAGTCTTGAAGGTGATGGAGGAAAGGAGGGAGGGGGAACCATGGCCAATTACAGGCTCTACGGGTTCAGCGACAAAAGTGAGAATTATTTGGGGCTGGGGTTACAACTCAGCGGCAGCGCGCTTGCTCGCACTTGTGAGGTACTGGGATCGATCCTCAGCACCACATTAAAAAACAAATAAAGAAAGATATCTTTTTGCTTAAAAAAAAAGGGTGAGTTATTTAAAATTTTATTCAAACATCTTTTTTCCCCTTTAACTTCCCCTCCTCTTCTTCTTCTTCCTCCTCCTCCTCCCCTCCCCCTCCCTCTCCTTCTCCTTCTCCTATACTGGGGATTGAACCTAGGAAGACTTTACCACTGAGCTACAGCCCAGTCCTTATTATTTTTTTACTTGGGATCCTCCTACCTAAGCCTCCCCCCTTACTAGGATTACAGGCATCCCCCCCACACCCAGCTCCTCCTCCTCTTCCTCCTCTTCCTCTTCCTCCTCAGTACTGGAGATTGAACCCAGGGACTTAACCACTAAGCAACCCCCACTTTTATATCTTATTTAGAAACAGGGTCTCTCTGAGTCGCTTACAGGCTCTCTGAGTCGCTGAGGCTGGCTTTGAACTCTCGATCTCCTGTCTCAGCCTCCTGAGCCGCTGGCATTACAGGCGTGTATCACGGTGCCCGTCTTCAAATATCTTGAGAGAGAGAGAGAAAGAGAAGAATAGAGTCGGTGTTTAGGCCGCAGGCAGTGCTCCTTTAGGAGCTCAGCGAGCTCCGCTCCGGGTTCCCCAGATCCAGGCTCTGTGCCCCTGCACCTCTTGGGGCCTACGCCCCGCCCCGCTCCAGGCTCCGCCCCCGTTCCAGGCCACGCCTCCTCCCATCTGCAGGCCCCGACCCGCGCACCAGGAGGGGGCGCCCGCGGGTCCCGCAGAGAGAAGAAAAGGCTTCATCCCAAGTTTTCGGGGACTTCAGCGTCCCAGCAGCTGTCGATACCCCGGGTCCTCAGTCTGGCGACCCCTAGACCGCCCCCAATCCAGCCCCAGAAGCTTCAGGCACCTCCTGATGTCGCGTCCCTTGGGGACCCTCCGGGAGCCCGAGGACTGCCCCAGCTCCTCTGCTTTCTAAAGCTTCTGGCTTCCTTGACTGTCTCCCTGCCCCGCAAGACCCCTGCCATGGCTCGGTCTTACGGCGGCCGGGTGCTGGCCGCGATGACCCTGCTGGGCATTCCCGCGGCGGTGCTGGCGGCCCTGGCCGCGCAGCTGCTGTTCCAGCTGCAGGCGGGACGCGCTGAGCTGCGGGGGACGCGCGCCGACGTGCTGGGCCCGGAGCTGGGCACCGGCCCGGGGCTGCCCGAGGACGCGGCCGGGGCGCTGCTGCCGCTGGCCGCCGCGCTGGCCGCGCTCGCCCTGGTGCTCGGCCTCACCTGCCTGCTCCTCGCGGCGCTCTGTGGCCACCTGGGCGCGGAGCTGGCGCGAGGACCCAGCCCTGGCAGGTAGGAGGACGCGAGCTCCGGTGTCCGTCGCGTTGTCGTTTATCCGGCTGAGCCCTGCCCGCCTCCCGCTGCTGTGGTCAGCTCCGGGAAGGCCCGTCCTCCCCTGGGGCTGCTGCTGTCATCCCCACATTTACTGCGCCTCAGGCAGCAGGGGCTGCTCTCTCCAGGCCTCTGGCTGGGAAGAGGGTGGGCTGGACTTGAACCTGAACCTGGGTTCTAGCCTGGGGTGGGGGCTCCCTAGGAATCGAGCTCAGAGATGCGCACATGAGGGGGCGTCTACCAGAGGCAGCGAAGGAAACTCCCCTGGGCCGAGGAGGACACCCAGACTCTTGCGTCTCCCTCCCAGACGCTGGAGGAGAGGAGTCTGGATTTGGGGGCACAATCTGGTCGATTTAAGCAGATGGAAACTTCTATCTTTAGGGTAGATCCTGCCCATAGCATGCACCCTTCACCCAAGGGACACCCACATGCATGTGTCCCCTCGTCCCCAAATATGTCTGTGGCACCTGCAGGTGGCAGGGGCTGACTCTGAACACCTGGACAGAGCAGGGACTAAATGGCCCCAGACAGCCACTCGCGGACTCACCATCTGAAAATAAAGAAGCACAAGAGATTTATGACGTCAGATAGGGTGGATGCTAGGAAGGAAGGAAATGGGGTGATGGGATGGAGGGGGACAAAGTAGGGTGACATAGGATGGTCAGGGGAGGCCTGAACTGAAACTTGTGGGAGGGAAGGAAGCAGAAGATGGGGGGTCTGTGATCCAAACAGAAGGAGCAGCAGGTGCCAGTGCCCTGGGGCGGAGTGATTGGTGTCTGGGGGGAGGTGGCTGAGGTTGGTGTGGCTGGAGGGGAGACGCAGGGAGATGAGGGCGGGAGGTCTGAGGGACTGGACCAGTGGGGCCCCAGCCCTGTGGCCAGGACTTAGGAGGGTTGTGAGTGAGGAGCTGACAATGTGATGGAGGTTTGGAGTACTTCCCTGTGGCCTCCAGGGAGGTGGGAGGGGATGGCAGGGAAACCCGGAAGGAGGCCCCTGAGGTGTCCCGTGGGAGGTGAGCAAAGAGAGCTTAGGGACTGCCCGACCTTCACTAGGTTGCCGCCCTGCCACCACTCCTGGCAAGGGAACCTCGTGTCCTCACCTCCAAAGTGGATCTGTGGTCCGTCAGATAGTGGAGGCAGGGAAGTGAGTGGGTGGACCCAGGGGAGGATGGACAGGCGGGGAGTGGGCAGTGGGTGGATTTGGTGGACAGATGGAGGTGGAGGGACGGTGGGCGGGAGATGAGTGATCAGTGGACGGTCGGCGAGGCCGTGGACAGAGGAGTGCTGCTTAGTGGGCGGAGGGCACAGGGCGCGGGTCCAGGGCGGATGGCTGCGGGGTGGGGGGTGCAGGTGGAAGAGCTGATGGGGCTGGACAGTGAGCAGTCGGCAGCTGGGTTGGAAATGGGTGACTGGGTGGGTGGAGGGCTGATGGGGGAAGCAGGTGGACAGCAGGTGAGTGGGTGGCACAGAGCTGACGGCTGGTGGGTGGACAGAGGGGAAAGGACGGGCTGAGGGGTCCCTATGTGAACGGTGGACGGGGCTGATGGGTGGACGGTGCCGGGTGCTGGTGGGTGGCTGGTTGGATGGATGGACGGTGGGCAGTGAAGGGCCCTAGGTGGAAGGAGGGTGGCCAGAGGGTGGTGGCAGGGGCCCCACTTGGATCCCTCTTCCCCTGCTGGGCCCTGCTGTCATTTAGGCCCCTCTCCCTCCCTGTCCCCCGGTCCCTGCAGCCAGCTCCATCTCCTGACGCCTTCTCTTGGTCCCCCTCCCCAGGTCCGACTGGTTTCTCTATGATTGCCGCCACCTCCGGCACGTGGCCCTTGGCCTCTTCTGCTGCGAGGTCTGCGTCTACCTGGCAGGTGCGCGCGGGGCCGGCACTCGGGGATGGCCCCTGGGCTGGTGGGGGTGGTTGGGGACCTGGGGCAGCCTGCGCGGGTCCAGATCCGGGCTCTGACGCTGTCCCCCTCCGGGGCCTGGGGCAGATCCTCTATGTGCCTGGTCCCCTGCCATTCAGTGGCAGCCATTTCCACCCAGGCCTCGTGGAGTAACTGGGGGATCCAGGTAAATACCCATCAAATTTCGCAGACGGCCTCGGACCCAGAGGGTCTCCAAGACAGTGGCTGTCAGCAGATTAGCTCCTCATCAGTTTGTTGATTTGTTTTAATATTTTTTAGTTGTCGATGGACCTTTATTTTATCTATTTTTATGTGCTGCTGAGGGTCGAACCCAGAGCCTCACACGTGCCAGGCGAGCGCTCTGCCGCTGAGCCCCCGACCAGCCCTTCTCACCAGTTTTACGTTTTGTTTGAACAAGTTTTCTGGCTGGGTGTTTTTTATTCTTTTGTTTTGTTGTTGTTGTTGTTGTTATTGTTTGTACTGGGGGTTGAACCCAGCCCATTTTATTTTATTTTTGAGACAGGGCCTCACTAAGTTGCTGAGGCTGGCCTCCAACTTGCAATTCTCCTGCCTCAGCCTCCCAAGTTGCTGGGGCATCAGGTGTGCACCACAGCACCCTCCTAAAAGGACACTTGTGGGGCTGGGGCCCAGGGGCAGGGCACTGGCTTAGCATGTGTGAGGCCCTGGGTGGGATCCTGAGCACCACAGAAAAATGACACAAATAAAGGCTGCTGTCCATCTACAGCTCCAAAAAGTGTTTTAAAAAAGACACTTCGTATCTTATATTTTAAGCTTGGAAAAAAAAAAAAAAAAACATGTCAACGTAGAATCCACACTGAGGCAACACCTAGGCCCTGCCTTCTCTAGAAGCACCTGTTTTATTGGAAGGAAAACTAATCAGATTCATGAAAGACAAGGGATTAGCCATTACTGACTTTAATTACTTTTATTTTTTATGAATAAAGGATGTTTTTCCCCAATAGTTTCTTTTTTTTCCCCCTGTGGTGCTGGGGATTGAACCCAGGGCCTTGTGCATGTGAGGCAAGCTCTCTACCAACTGAGCTACATCCCCAGCCCTTCCCCAATAGTTTTTATAAATCTATTGCAAGTGGTTTATTTGTAATTAATAAACATGGTACATGTTTATGGCAGCTATTATGATTTTCTTAGTCCCACAATAGAAAAATAGAAGATAAAAAATGATGGATTTAAAGTATTTTTTTATGAAATATAAACCTAGGGTTCAATGTGGAAATTTGTAGGTAGATTGTTGTTTGACTTAATAAAAAGTTCTAGACGTGGGATTTTTAAAAAGGAAAGTGGAATCGTTGTTTCATGTATTTGAAATTCTCGGGGGTAGTTGGCTTCAAGTGCGGCTGGATCCAGGTGCTCCAGTGAGGTTGTGTGAAGTGCCTCTTGCCTCAAGTTTCCTCTGTGTCCGCTGAGTGTACTTCTCCCAGAATGATGGGCTGTGGACACTTGGGATTCAGTACCTACAACCTCAGGCTTTTCATGGGCTGACAAAATTTTGAGGTCAAAAATATTGAGGAAAAATATATCCTCACATCCTCATTCTAAAATACAAGAAAATCACAGAGAGAAGAAGAAAGTCATTATGTCCGATTCATTAAGCGTTAAATTGAGAATTCAGTCACCTCCCATTTAGACTCCTTTAGAGGTTAGGTGACCTCATTCAGCAAGAATTCACAAGCCCTTCCAGCCAATCACCCATCCACTGCTCCCCGGAGCCAAAAAGAAGAATCATAACAAACCCTTTCAAAATGTTTAGCACAAAGAAAGTTCTTGGCCCCATTTTAATACATCAGGCATGATGCACGGGGGCATCTTCAAAAGGAAGAGTGCAGCCAGGCGCGGTGGCCCACGCCTGTAATCCCAGCAGCTCAGGAGGCTGAGGCAGGAGGATAGAGAGTTCAAAGCCAGCCTCAGCAATTTAGCGAGGCCCTAAGCAACTCAGTGAGGCCCTGTCTCTAAATAAAATGCAAAATGGGGCTGGGGTGTGGCTCAGTGGTCGAGTGCCCCTGAGTTCAAGTCCTAGTACAAAAAAAAAAAGAGGGCAGAGTCAGAGAAAACAGAAACAACCCAGAAAGTGCCACAGAGTCCCCCAGCCGTCCTGGGTTTCTTTCCTACCTATACCCCTCCCACTGCGGGAAGAAAATCCCTGTGTCCCTATAGGCCAAGCAAAAGTCCCAGGGCTGACTCTGATAGGCTGCGCTGAAGTCACGTGATTTCCCTCCACCAATTACTGTAACAAGGGAGAGCAACTCTCTCGCCATTAGGGCCTCCCTAAATTGAAGAGGCTGGCCTTGAATTTATGATCCTCATTTCTCAGCCTCCCAAGTGGCTGGGATTACAGGTGTGTGCCACCACACCCTCTATTGCAGGGTTTTCTATTGTCACTCCGCATGGGGGGGGGGGTGTCCCTGAGGGCTTGGAGAACTGACCTGTGTTAACTGAGAGTCATTTCCTTCCCTAGCGCTCTCCATCTATGCCCTGCTGCTTTTTGAGATTGAGACAGGCGCCGCGGTGGCCTCCATCCTAGGCTCCGGTGCCCTGGTTCTGGTGGCCATTCTGACCCACACCCTGCTCCGGGCTGCCCGGGCCACCCACCATGGTCTCCGTGAACTGTCCCCACAGTCCTTTGAAGATAATTCTGCACGCCCTGCCGAAGCCTCCAAGGACAGCCCCAGGGCTCAGCCCCAGCATGGTACCCACCGTCGGACCCCATATTCATTCTGCCTGGAGCTTGGGGACCCCCTTAGGACCATGGCCACTGCCACAGCACCCAAATCCCTGGGGGGAGGCCGGGAGAGCAGCCTGCCTACACCCCGAATGCACCGGACACTGTCGACTGGCATGGGGCCCTGGGAGGGGGTCACTCAAGAGATGCGGAGCATGCTGGGCCACAGACCAAGGGCCACAGGAAAGGACTCAACGCTGGTGTGAACCTGAGAATCAGGAATAGATAACTGGTGTAAGGTAGCAAGAAGCAACTATCATAGAGATAGGTCCAGGCTCAGCTGCAGTAGCAGTAAGACTTGATTTCTCTTACAGTTTACATCATCCCTGGTTATGGTCTTTAAGATTGCCTCATGGTACAAAATAGCTGCCAGGGCTCCAGCCTTTATCTCCCCACAAGGAGGGAAAGTCAGAGTCCAAGCCTGACTCAGAGTCTTCTGAAAGTCTGCCTATGAGGCTTTGGGGCCCTTCTGCTTACCTCTCACTAGCCAGAACAGAGTCCCAAGACCAGATCTCCATGCAGGGAGCCTGGGAAATCTGGTTGCCCAGAATGAATGAAGTTCTGTTCCAGGTAGGAGGGGAGGCTGGGGCTTAGACAGTGATTCTCTAAGTGTCTCCATCCATTTTACAGATGAGGAAATCGAGGCCCCAAGAGGGGCAGTGACTCACCAGAGGTCCCAGTTCTGAGCATCAGAGCCAGGATTTGCCCCTGGGTCTCGTAAGCCCCATGTTGCTGACAGATGGTGCCAGTCTCAGACCCCGCACGATGCCCCCCCCCCCCACCTGCCCGGGGCTGTGAATGTCTGAAACCCATGTGCGCCAAGCAGCCCACAGCCAGGCGCAGACCCGGAGGCTGGACCCACCCACGCGCCTGGTTGCAGGCCAGTCTGCTCTGTGCCTCAGTTTCCCTGCCTGTAAAATGGGACTGGAGGTGACCCTGCTCTTCAGGCTGCCAAGAGACCCACGAGTCCATACGAGCCGGCTGGGGCCTGCGCACAGTAGGTCCTCAGCACACGCAACCATTTCTGTGTCGCTGGGGGTCGGTGTGCCTGGTGTCGGGAAATGGCCCGTGACGAGGCGAAGTGGCTTATGGACCTGATGGAGCTCGGTGGGCTGCAGGACAGGGACCAGGGTCCCCCACCCTCCACCATCTTGCACATCCTAAATAAACTCCAGACCTCGCCATCGCTGTGTCATTTAATCCATGTCCAAATGTCCCTGTGGCCAAGCTCAGGCCCGTGGTGGGCCAGGGTGACAGAGGGGTGGGCAGGAGCAGTGGGCAGGGTACCTCCTGGGGCCCCAGCCCGGGAGCCCAGGTCCTGCCCATCTTCCCACATGTGAGTCTCTGTGGGAGGGCCCTGGCTGGCCCCACCTGTACCCCAAAGGGACAAATGTCCCCAGGAGGCTTACAGCCAGGGACGCCAGGGCCTAGGAGTCAGGGTGGGCTGAGGCCCTGGTGAAAGCCCTTCCAACAGGCAAAGAGGTGACAGCCCCCAGCAGGGAAGCTGAGCCCTGAGCCTGACTCTGGGCAGGGACCCCAGGTGGCCATCAGCCCAGCCCACTCCCCCATGGAGCCCGGGAGAAGCTGCCCAGGCCTCCTCGGGCCTGCAGATGGGACAGAAAGGTTTGTCCTTGAGCAGCCAGAATGGCGCCTGACACAGGGGCCCCAGCAGGGACAGACTTGGGACAACATGATAAACATCAAGTCCGAGGAGCACATTGAAAAAATGGCGCGCAGGCGCGGTGGCGCTCACCTGTAACCCAACCATTTGGGAGGCTGAGGCAGGAGGATGGTGGTCTGAGGCCAGTTCAGCAATTTAGTGAGGTTCTGGGAAACTTAGTGAGACCCTGAGTCAAAACTGAAAATTAAAAAAGAAAAAGGGTTAGGGATGAGGTGCTTAAAGAAAGAGTTAAATGTTTCGTGAATTCCACCTGAAGTTTAAAATAGGATCCAAGGAGGCGCCTGGGCTGGGGGAGGCCCCAGAGGGTGAAGCCAGGTCTCCGTGAACGCTGCACCCTGGGCGCCTCTCCGTCTCACCTCATCTGTCCCTTCATGTCCTCATGAGACCTTCAACTTGAGCCCTGGAACTCTGCAGGGCTCCACAGGCCGCCTGGCAGGTGTCCACGGGCCCAGCGGGAGCTGCCTCCTGCTGGACAGGGAGGGGGCCGGGCCTCTTCCCAGCTCAGGCACCATCACGCAGGGAGGAGGGAGGGACAGGCCATCCGGCCAGAGCCAGCACCTGAGTTGGGAGGCACCTGATCAGAGTTTGGCAGGAGAACGCAGAACATTCCAGGAAGGGGACCTGCCACAGGGCGCGGCCGTGTGACCCACATCCTGACCCCCGATCCCAGCACAGTCAGGTGACATGGGAAGGAACAGTCACGCCTTGGTTCATTCCACTCCTCATCCACACAGGCGGCCCTCAGCAGGCTCCTTGGTGTTTGGGGGGGGGGGTGGTCAATGCCTGTCAAAGAGGTCGCCTGCTGGGCGCTGTCACCCGCTCCTGTAATCCCAGCCACTCGGGAGGCCGAGGCAGGAGGAGCAGGGATTTGAGGTCCCAGCCTGGGCCACTTAGCGAGACCCTCAACTTAACAAGAAGCTGTCTCAAAATAAAACAACAGGAACTGGGGACGCAGCTTAGTGGCAGAGCGCCCTCAATCGCCAGTGCTCAAAAAAAAAAAAGAAAGAAATGCCGCCCTGGTTTGGGGTCATCAGAACCAGACCCTCGCAATGACTGCGGGGCACGGTCATCTGGGAGAAGACCACAGGAGCCCTGCAGGGCGCCAGGGAGCGGGCCGCGCTGGCGGACCTCGGGGAGGCACCGGGCTCCCACCCCAGGGCGCTGGGCAGCGGTGTCCACCCGATTCCCATCAGGCTTTGGCTGAGGGCTGCTTCCACCCTCCTGTGTCCCAGGAGGACGCACCGCTGTGGTCTCAGGAGGCCCCGACAGGGTCACGGGTACCTGCCTTCAGCAACCTGCCTCACCTACCCGTGAATTGGGAGGAGGCGCAGCCCACCTGCTCCAGCTGAGCGGCCTTTATCCAGGAGCAAAAAGGAGCCGGGCGCAGTGCGCATGACAGTAATCCTGGAGGCTGAGGCAGGAGGATCTCGAGGCTCTAAGCAACTCAGTGAGATTCTGTCTCTGAAGAAAATACAAAATGGGGCTGGGGCTGGGGCTCAGGGGTCGAGGGCCCTGAGTTCCATCCCCGGTTCTCCTCTCCCCCCCAAAAAAAAAAAAAAAAAAACACATAGGGAGATTTGCCCACACTCTTTGTGCTTAAGAGGAGTGTGAGGGGCTGCGATTGTGGCTCAGTGACAACGCGCTCGCCTGGCGTGTGTGAGGCACTGGGTTTGATCCTCAGCACCACAATAAATAAATTAAATAAAGGGCCTTTGAGGGCTGGGGTGGAGCTCGGTGGTGGAGGAGGAGTTGCAGGCGGTCGCTCCAGGTTGGACCCCGGGTCTCCTCTGCCATCTCTCCTTTACTTCTGCATAGAACATCTGAAAGTGGCCGAAGGGAGCCGGGGTCCTCTGTGCTGGTGACATTTAACTGACACCATCCCGAAGGAGGCTGATCAGTCCAACAAGGACCTGTCTTGGTCTTTTTTTGTGTTGCTGCAACGGAATGCTTGAGACTGGGAAATTTATAAAGAGGTTTATTTCTGACAGTTCTAGAGACGGGGAACTCCAAAATCAAGGGGCTGGCAGCTGGCAACAGCCTACCTGTCATGGCATGGCATGGCACAAGGCATCATTTGGGGAGAGAACCAAAGGGAAGACACCAAATCCATTCGCTCTGGTCCTGGCCTTAATCCACGTGTGAGCACTGAGTCCGCGAGGGCTCATCCGCCCCTGAGGTCTCATCTCTCCACACTGTCGTCGAGGGGACGAAAGTTTCCAACACATTCAGTCCCAGCAGGGCTGACACACATCCTGTTGCTACTTTTCAAGACAGAATTCTTGGAGCTGACATAAAACTTTCAGGGAGTCCTGGTTCTTTTTTTTTCTACCAAGCACTGTCTGTGTGGCCAACAGGGATGGTGATGCTGTTGAATAGAGGGGACTTGCTAACAGTCGTTTTGTACTCATGAAAAAAAAAAATTCTAGATAATATATTTTGGGTGAAATAAATTTAGAAGGCCAGTGTTTTTAGGATGGTTCTACTAAGTTGAACCTCTTGGCTCAAATACGTGCACATACATTTCCTAGAATAAAGGGAGCAAGAACCAAATAAGTACACCTTGATAGCCAAGCACATTGTCTTTCCCTGACTTATGAGTCCTATCAGATGTATCAGTCAGCTATTACTGCATAACAAATTATCCCAAAATGTAGCAGCTTAAAACAATACATATCTTGCTGGGTGCAGTGGCACATGCCTGTAATCCCAGCAGCTTGGGAGGCTGAGGCAGAAGGATCACAAGTTCAAAGTAAGGCACTAAGCAACTCAGTGAGGTTCTCTCTTTAGATAAAATGCAAAATAGGGCTGGGGATGTTGCTCTGTGGTCAAGTGCCTCTGAATTCGATCCTCAGTATATATATAAAAAAAAAAACAATAGGTATCTATTACCTCTGTGTATTAGTCCATTTTCCTTTGCTATAACTAAATACCAAGGGCTAGATAAATCATCAAGAAAAAAGTTTTATTTAGCCCAAAGTTTTGTTTTATTTTATTTTATTGCAGTGCTGGGAGTCAAACCCAGGATCCAGTGCATGTGAGGCAAGCTCTCTACCACTGAGCTACATCTGCAGCCCTAGCTCACAGATTTGGAGGTTCAAGGCCACGGCACCAGTATCAGCTCAGCTCTGGTGAGGACCTCATGGCAGATGGGGTCGTGGCTAGAGCAAATGGGAGAGGGAGAGATCACATGGTAAGACAGGAAGCCAGAGACTGAGGCAGGGCCAGGCCGGCTCTCTTGTAACAGCCCTCTAGCAAGAATAACCCTGGTCCCAGTAGAAAGGTAATGATCCCAATAACCTAATGACCTCCCACCAAGCCCCACCTCTTAAAGGGCCCACCACCTCTTAACATCACCACACCAAGGACCAAGCTTCCAAAACATGAAACCTGGAGAAACAAACCACACCCCAAATCCAGCACTTGGTTGCTGTAGATGGGGACCTGGGTGCTGCTGGGTCTCCTCTGAATATGGTCTGTCTCTCAGAACTCTTGCAAGAGTCTAATCCCTGTGTTAGTCAACTTTTCCTCACTGTGACCCAACACCTGAAATAGCAACTTGGAGAAGGAGAGACTGACTTCGGCCATGGCCTCAGAGTCTCAGTCCACGGTGGGCTGGCTCCATTTCTTTGGGCTTGATGTGATGCAGAAGGTCCCAGCGGAAGGACAGCGGCTGAGCTCATGGCAGCCAAAGAGCAGAGAGAGGGGGAGGGAGAGGCACCAGGGACAAGGTGCAGTCCCCACAGGCGTGCCCCCGGTCACCACTTCCTCCACCCACAGCCCACCTGTCTGTAGTTCCCCGCCACCTCCAGTCAGCCACTCCGATTTCAGGGGATTAACCCACCCCTGAGGCCGGGTCCTCAGAATCCAGTCACCTCCCCAGAGCTCCACCTCTGGACATGGGTGCACCAGAGACCAGGCCTTCAACTTGGGATTCTTTGAGGACATTTTACACCCGAACTATGACAGTTGCCAGAGTTTTATATTAATGTTATTTAGATAAACAATCTGGGCTGGGGATGCGGCTCAAGCGGCAGCGTGCTCCCCTGGCATGCGTATGGACCAGGTTCGATCCTCAGCACCACATACCAACAAAGATGTTGTGTCCGCTGAAAACTAAAAAATAAATATTAAAAAGTTCTCTCTCGGGCTGGGGATGTGGCTCAAGCGGTAGTGCGCTCGCCTGGCATGCGTGCGACCCGGGTTCGATCCTCCTCAGCACCACATACCAACAAAGATGTTGTGTCCACCAAGAACTGAAAAATAAATATTAAAAATTCAAAAAAAAAAAAAAAAGTTCTCTCTCTCTCTCTCTCTCTCTTTAAAAAATAAAATAAAAATAATAAAAAAGAAAGATAAACAATCTGGCCCACTCCTGTCATCCCAGCGACTTGGGAGGCTGAGGCAGGAGAATCGTGAATTTAAAGCCAGACTTAGCAACAAACAGCAAAGAGCTAAGCAGCCCAGTGAGATCGTGTCTCTAAAGAAAAT